TTATGCAATAGGTGAGTCAGGAGGCCCCTGCCTTGCAAGACTGAAAGATGAAATTAACAATTACTAGAAAAGTTGTCTTCCTCTTGGGGACAAATGTGGCAACAATGTGAAGATGGGGATGTACACTGTTGCATGAGCAGCATCTCAACTGTAAATGAGCTAAATGCTCCTAATCCAGATGAACGTCGTCACAGGGCTTTTTCTTTGTGCTCCTGACAAACGTTAAGACTTTGTTGTAAAGCATTTCATTTAAAATGCTGTTCTATAACCATCTTCTCTGGGTAGTACTCAAGGACAAAAACTGGACCTTGAGAAACAGGACAATTTTTTATGCTTTTAAGCTGGAGTAAGGCAGTCCAGTCCCAAGAGGTTCTCTGGAAAGAGGGCTGGAGGCAGGAACATGATGGGTCTCTGCCATACAGGGGATCCTCATGTTGAGAGGTTTGTCCAGTGATAACCAGTGGTGCCTGATTATCAGTGAGCCCCTATAAAACTGGCACTTCATTCAGCAATACATGAAAACACAACTGATGATGAAAATGACAAGCTTTAGTCAGTCTCTGTGCAAGGAAGTGTGAGGAGCCCGGGTGGCTGTTCTTCCACTCTTCAGCTTTACGGAGGAAGTCTCAGTTACCACCACCACTCAGAGAGATACTGCAGCAACAACTACAGCTCATTCCACCAAAAAGTGTTCACTGAATTCTTAATGCACAATATCAGAGCTGAAGACACTGAGACGAACCCTGCCCTCAGGAAGTACACGCTTAAAGAAGAATAAAGACAGCCTAGGCCACCTGGTGCAGACCACACCATAATGACACAGACATAATCAACATGCCTCGGTGCATGGCCCCAGAAAAAAGGGGTAGCCATAGCGAGAACAGAGGTCTTCTGCCTTCTCTCTGGTTTTCTACTAACATACGCTGGGGTCTCAGCAACAGTTCTACCATGGCCGTATAAATCCAGTAATTTCACACAGCAGTTCACTGTTTTATTACTAATAAAGGCACCAGTCTCGCTGTAATAGGCTTAACAGGGCAACTGCTGCTCAGGAGGAGCTACAGGCACCTTAGCCTTGCTCAACTGAGCCTGGTCCTCACCTGATTTGCTCCTCCATTTCCCTCCACCTGTAACTGTGAGTGGCTGATGTCACTCTGAAAGTCAACAGTTGGCATCCAAAGAACAA